TCAGTGTCGGCGCGGCTGACGGGGCCGGGCGGGCCCGCCTCGCCCGGGCGGGCGCTGTCTCAGCGCGGCGGCAGCGGGGGCCGCGGCGTCGCTGCTGCTGCCGCCTTTCGCTGTCCGCCGGCGGCCTTTCCTCCGCCCCTTCCCGCGCCGCCCCTGCCGCTGCTCCCGGGCAGGGAGGGAGGGCGGACGGGCGGGGAGCCGCCTCCCGCTGCCCCCCGCGCCCCCTCCCCATGCAGCCCAGCCCGGCGCTGGGAGCCCTCCCCGGGGGCATGTTCCTGCGGCCGCTGCCGGGATAACCGGCGCCCCGTCCGCCCCCGCCCCGGACGGAGGATGCTGCCCGCGCCGTGGCGGGTTCCGACTCGGGCAGCAGTGGCCTCGTTCCCCCGCCCGGCTCCGGGCAGCGCCGCCGGGGAGAGATGACTTCAAGGTACCAGGCGGACTGGATCCCTTACAGGTACGGGGGCACCGGGCGAGGGACGGGAGGGGGCTGCCGCGGCGGGGCAGGAGGCTGCGCCGTGGTGCCCCTGCAAACTTCGGGCCAGGGCTGCGCCGGGAGCCGGGGCGCAGCGGGTGCCTCCCGCAGCGCAGGGAGCGCGGCCGGGCCGCCGCTTCCCCGGGGCGCGGAGCGGCCGTCATGGCGAGCGGCGAGCAGCGGCATCGCCATGGCAGCGCCGCGGCGAGCGGCTGCCATTGGCCCCGCCGTTGCCATAAGCTACGGGCGCCGCCGCCGCTCCGGCCTGGAGCCGCGCGGCCCGCGCCGCAGCGGGGACCGGGACCGGGAGCGGGGCCGGGGCCGGCGGGGAGCCGCGCGCCCCTCCGCTCCGCGCGCCTCGCGGCGCCTGCTTGCCCGCCTGCCTGCGCTCTGTGTGCGACCTGTCGGTAGGTAGGGGAGCGCGAGCCCGCGGCCGTGCCTCGCGGGGCAGGATGAGCTCGGCTTGGAACAGCAATAAAGCGATGGCTGAATCTGCTGCCAGTACTGTTTTTAACATTTTTTTAAATAAATAGATTATGCAGCAAAATATGGTTGTTTCATGCACTTGTTATAGCTGGAGTAATGAAGATTGGTTATTTTTGTAGAGAATTGTGAATTTAAAAATTTTCAGATTTTACAGAATGCATGTTAGAACAAAGGTATCTATTTACAGCCCTCCGTTTTGCCCCCTTATAGGCGTTAATAGTTGTAGCGACCAGATATTGATACAATATGGAAACAAATCATTTCCCAATACAGGATGAAAATAAAATGATGGATACACAAAAATCTTTTTACTTTGTTTATGCGAGAGTTTTAATTAATAGGGGAATCAGAAATAAAACTGATTACAGTAAACCTAAAAACATTACTGCAGACTGTTTAACAGCCCTTCCAGAGCACATGTTTTAAAAAGATGCAAGGAATTGTATTCTTACGCAATTTGAAGCTGTGTAATGAAGGCATAAATACCACGAGAACAGCTGTTCCATGACTCTTCCCTGTAGCAGCTTAACTGTTTTTTTTTTCCTCTCTTCTACGCAAGCCTGTGTAGAGGCCAGTACTATAACTTTGCCTAAGGGATTTCCCGTTTTCAGAATGGGAAACAAAGCATCCTATCTAACTGTTCCTGTGCAATGCAGATCAGAGAAACAAGGAGGTTCAAAATGGTAGATCTCTAGAGAAACACAGATGATGATTCTTACAGTTTTTCCTAAAGTAATATTTTCCATGAATGTTGCTTCTGAAACTAGAGGCATTTTGTTACCCTGAAGCTGTTAGGCTAGATCAGCCAGCTATACCTTACATGTTTTTGACCAGTAATTGATGAGGAATGTCTGTTCCTCCTGACCAAAAAGCAGGCAAACCCAAGTCCTGCTCTGAAGTTTATTTGTTGATGTTTCTAGCATAATTTCATTTTTACTCAAAGCTGATTTTCTGTTTATAGAGAGCTAGTTCAGAGTTGGAGGTATATACTTGCAGTTGAACTTACTATTTTTCAGTATTTTCTAGAATAGTCTAATTCTATTTACACAGGAAACACAAGTCGCTAAACAAGTATGTGACTGTGGTTATATACAAAACCACTTTTTTAGGTCAAAACTCAGTCTCTTCTAGACATGAACCATGCATGGTGTGGGGGAAGCCTATTGTCTGTGCACACCTAGGAATACTTGATGTCTCAGGAAGCAAATGTCCCTTGATTGATCTGCTCTGTTGCTTTGAACTCCTGTTTGCTGCGGTAATTTGAAGGATTGCTGACTCTTAAATCCCAGGAGCCTGTTTTCCACCTCCTTTATAGCCTAGGTAGCACATGACTGCCAGCAATGTCAGGGCTCGCACAGGAGACAACACAGGATCCCTGGCGTGCTAAAGTCCATAAAAAGTATGTGATATATCCTGAACTTCATTGATAGATGATGTTCTAGCAAGTGCTGCAAGCTCTTCTCTGAGCTTGGGAAAACTGTATTGATTTTGGCACGGACTTTAAAATGGTGGCATAGCTTCTAAACTTCCAGTGCTCCTCTTAGCAGTCTAACTGGGTGCATGTGCAAATATATACCTGAAGTCAAGCACAGCAGTGCTGTTTTTCTAGATAAATACGAATTCATAAATTCATACATAATACATTTAATAAAATACATATGCACGTGCCCTTACAAGTGGAACAAGCCACAGAGAATAATAAAAAAAAAAATCATTTGTGCATGTATGAATCTTGCATGCATCACTGAGCAATCCACCTTCATGCCCTCACAAAACTCAAACACAAACATGCCCTCAACTCATTATACTTCAGTTTTAAGACAGAACATTTTGAGTGAGTTTACAAAAGAAGTGCTAGACACTTCTTTCAGTGCCAGCGCTAGCCTTTTCACGTTGAGATGAATGAAATGTGTTCATGTTATTTGTATAACAGAGTTTGTACTGTTTCTTCCTTTTGCCTTAAACCCCTTTTCTTTTGTGTGCTGCTTTTGAATCACTAATACTTATACTATGAGATTTGAATTTCTCTGATACTAGAAAATATATTTGAGAATGATACCTTAAAAGTAAGTATATGGCATTTATCTTAAACTATTTCATGGGTAGAATTCAAGCATACGATTAAGTAGTTGTATGAAACTTGGTGTGAGGTTCAGACTTTTTTTTATTTGAGCCTATTTTGGCAACCCTTATATCCTCTATTATAGAGAATCTAAAAAGTTAAGAAATTAAAAATCAGTTAGCTGAAAAATCAGTTGCAGCTCTTGTACTTTTTTCTGTACTTTCCTTGTGCCAGTAAGATGTAGCTCCTTCAGAAATTATGCTAATATGCACAGCAATAAATTTGATTGCGTATCCTATTGCAATTTCCATAGAAATGTGACCAGAATAATATCAAATTCAGTTTAGTTTTTTAGATCACAAATATGTTTCAGATCATTTTTCTGAACTCTTTTTAAATTTATTGATTTTTAGAAATTAGTATAATTTTTATTTTTTGCTTGTATGCCTTAGATGAGCAAGCATGTTCTTTACACTGCCTAATTATAGTTAAATGAAGCTGTTGCTGCTTAAAATATCAGCATGTATTCATCTTGTCAGAATAATTCTTGTTTCTTTAAAAAATACTTCTTAATTGTAAAAATTTTAAAGCAGCATTTATAAAAAATAAATAAGTATAAGCTGATTTTTCTATAAAGTGTTAGTGTAAATCTTGTGAAACTTCAGGTTTGTAGAGTCCTACAGTAGTACAGAAGGAGGCTGTGAATTGTGCAGCTGGGGATTTGACAATTGGAGTAAAAGAAAATAAAGCAAGGTTTACACTGTGCATGTGCAGTAGCATAATACTTCTTGGTATGGGTAATATAAACTGTTTTAATTTGTTAAATATTCTCATTTTCTGTGTTTTTTTCAGAGTTTTAAGTTTTAGGTTAGGTGCTTAGTTATCACAGCTATAGGCAATGACTTGTTTGCAAGGATTACTGTTGAATGAAAATTGTTTTGGGGTAGTGCTGTGGTGAAGGCTTGTGAATCATGGCAGAATAATTAAGAATAGAATAAGAATTAAGAATAGATAAGATTTGTGAAGATGCAGTATGTAAACAAGTTTTGGAGCAAGAATTTGTTTGAAAACCGAGAGTGTCCAAAACTTGTTTCTGTGCATTTATTAGAAATACTGGTGTATTATTTATCTTTATTCATTAATATTTTTAGTTCAACAGTGCAGATAAAATACCCCCCTCTGCAAGGTAGGTGCTGTTAGAGGCTGTGAGTGCAGCACAGTGCAGGCAGGCTCACTCTCAGCTACCTGCTGTGGGGAATGGCATTGATAATTTATGAGAGCACTGCTTTTTCTAGAGAACAGGGTATAAAGAGCATATGTCTGCTGTGCTCTAAATGAGGCCGTCTTCTCTCAGGTTATTGCACTGTATGAAATTAGCCTAGTCATGTGCTGTTAAAATGTTTAAGTTAGAGCTCCCCCCAATGAGAGTCTGTCTGTAGGAGCACATAGAGACTCAGCATCAGCACCGTGGGACCATGCAGGCACATCGTCAGATGCAATTGTTGCCCTGGAGCTGATAGCCTAGATCAACCAGGCAGAAAAGACAGCAGAGCAAAATAAAAAAAATTACTTCAGTTTTACCGGTAGGGGAAATAGAGATCAGTTGAAATCGTGGGGAATTGGCTTTAAGTGGAAATGGGACAGGGCTCAAGGGAGATCAGGGAGAGAGATGGAGGTGAAACCTAGTCTTGTGCTCTGTGTAGTGCTGTAGTGCCGGATTTAAATCAGGGAGTGATAGAGGCTGAAGGATGGCCAAACTTTGCCACCTGTTGTAGAGTGCTTTTGCTGCACCAGCTGTCCTATAGTGTGGTGCCCCCAACCCCTTTTACATCAACATCCAGACTGAGGAGCGATTCATTTCATAACAAACCAACAAGTTGCTGGTAGTGACAATTACATGCAGGTTTCTGGCAGTGACAATCATTTACAAGCCATCTGTGCCAGATTTGAACGGGAGATGGAAAGTGGATCTGAAATTTTATGTCTCTTACAGTTTCCTCTGCTATGCCTGAGGGCTCGCACTTCCCTTAAAATTGCTTTCACTTAGACATGCACGAAGCAGCTTCTTTGAAAGGTGGTGCTTTCTATCAGTAACTAAAAATAGACCCTCAAGAAGGCTGGATTCTTTTCACACTTCCTCCCTGTTCCTCCTCTTCTCATACTGATGGCTTATCCTGTTTTATTTTCTAATTCATGCTTTTCTGTTATTTCTCTTTATGAGCACAGGTTGGCTCTTGCCATTTTGTCTCTTCTTTTTGTGCTTCTTGACTCCATTCTGTTTTCTTCTTTCTTCCCTCACTTCTAGCTTAAAATTCGTATTTTATTGTTTGTAATTTTAAATAAATCCATCCCAACTTATTATTTCCTTACTTTGGTAGATAGCATTGCTGGCAGTTTTTAAAAGATAAAATATTTTTCTTGGAGGTTAATTTAG